GTCCCTGGGCCTGCGGCTTCCTGAGCCGGGGTGGTGCCACGGGGTCGGCAGGCTCTCTCTCGATGGATATTTCTCCTGTGGGTTTACCCAGTTTCTTTCCAATCCCCTACAAGTTTTCAGTACCCGCAATATCCTGTTGCAAAATTTCGCATCTTTAGCCTGTGTGAGAAGTGCCTGCTTTCCTTTGCTCTAAATTCCGACCATCTCCTTTCATTTACTGCTCCCTGGTTCTTGTGGATGATACAATCAATATTCATTCCTTGTTCACCTTTCCAAGGCCACTCACGATTTGACAGATCTCTGTCCTGTCCTTCAGCCTTTTTTTCTTTTTCTATACTGTAGAGTTTTAGCCTCTTTCATTATTCTGTGGGTGGCAGTCAGTCTGTGCTTTCATGACCTTTGTCTCCTTTGTACAGTTTCTCTGTCGTTTTTGAGTTGAGGGAGGCAGCACTGCACTCAGTATCTCAGATGCTGGTGTGTCATTGATTTATGTAGTGGCATAGTGCAGTTTTCTTTTCCTTTCCTAATAGATCTCTTTGCCTTTTGTCTAAGCATTGAGTTCTATTGAAACATCATATGTCTAATAGCATTTTGTTATCGCTGAGTGTCATGAGGTCTTCCTCACCCTTTGTCTCTTTTCTACATCAGCGCTTGGAGAGCATAGGACCTGCTGCCTCTTCTCTAGTCTTCTCATTTTTACTAGATACGTGTCCATGAGAGATTCTTCTTTCTTATTCATGGTAGTTTAGGGCCTCTAATGGCTTTTCAGAGGGCCATAGCTGAATGCCTTTAGAGCACCCAAGCCAACTGTACCTATTTGATCTTCCTCACCCGTTTACCTGTTGACACTTTAGAAACTCTCCAATAGATTTCGAAGTCTGTATTTTTTTTTCCAAATATATATATTTTTCTTTTAAGTGTCTGGTTAATCTGTGTTAAAATTTCTATCGATTTGCGCAGAACAGGTGTCACATGTACAGGTCTGTGTTTCCCCAGATCTTCACTGGGGGTGAAGTCAGTTTTGTCATTTGCCACCTTCCAGTCATTTTGTATTAAGGCAGTGTTAAGTAAGAAGTTACACACTGCAGGTTATGATTCAGTTATATTGAAGTTAGTTCATGCCAGAAGGGTTTTTAAGCTCTTGGGTGAACATTGTCTAATCTTGGTCATTTGTTACTGTTTATTTTGTTGGCTTCCACAGTGCTTCTACAGATATATCCTTCTGAGACAGAGCCTCAGCTGTATTCTTCATAGTTTAAGACTTCTGCTGTGACCCCGCACTCCCCAAATTCCTCTGTAATGAAGAGAGATGCACAGACTTCTTCTAGTTTTTCTACACTGTCCTCATCATTGTTGAATGGCCCTTTTATACCTAGATTTTCAACTGGCTCTGCAGATTCTGTCAGACAAGAACATGCACTGTGGTATTTCTCCTGCTCCAGACAGGAGAGTCTGTCCTCATTGTCAAAAATTTTCTGGCTGGAAAACATCAACAAAACTAAGTCTGATAGCAGTAGTGAATGGGGAGCAAGGAGGCTGTCGCCAGTCTCTTAGCTGAACCCTGTGACACAGAACGCCCCAGTCTACATGGACTGTGTTTGTCTGGGTGCACATGGTGTCACGCTGAGGATGAAGTTAGCTCTTGGGGCAATAACCACACAGTTACTACACGTTTAAAAAAAAAAAAAAAAAAAAAAAAGATTTTTCTCCATCCCCAGCTTGGTGTGTCAGGGTAGTAGATCCCCTTTCAAAGAAGTAGTCTCTCTCCCTCGGAGTTTAAAGAATAAGCTTTTCCTCTCAGTCTCCTTGGAAAATCTCTGTTCTGTGTTCCTCCTCTGATTTTCCTCCTTTTTTTTTTAGGGGTTCTTGGATGATGGTTGTTTCTGTGGCTACAAATCATAGTTTAGCAGGGTTTTCTTTCGGTGGCAGTGCTGGCTTAAGCAACAGGCAGTCCCCACTGCCTGTTCCTCATGAGGTTACACAGAGTTGCCCTGACACGGCTGAAGGAATGGGCCACGGTTAGGTGGAAAATGCTCGAGGAGATTCTGCCATTGACAAAAATGCGGTGAGCTGGTTCAGCATGTTAACAAATGTATGCTCTCAAAAGTATGTAGGGCTGGGATCACCATCTCTTTAACAGCCAGAACATGAAGGCACCAGGCTGTGCATTGATTTTTCCAGAAGCCTCTGGCACAACTGGGGATGCGTATTCCCAGTTAAGCGTCTTCCTCATGAGTCTGGCCCTTTGACAGTGTGTGTTTTCCTCCCTGCCACCTCCTCAGCTGCCTTCCAAGTTTTTTGAAAGAGTGAGGGGCAAGGAGGCATGCTCTACTTGCTTCCTCTTGGGTCAGGATTGAGATGAGTGCTTCCTGGGTGCCAAAGACAGAGCTTTTTAGAAAGCCTATAACATTTTTAATTTATTTTGTTACATGCTTTAAACTTTCCACATATTTGTCAGAACACAGGTACTTACATGTCTGTTATATGTTTGACCTTAACTGGTACAACCTGGACATGGTCCTCAATTGTACAGTCCCATCCTGATCTCTCTGCAGGGTCTTTGCCATGATAGTCCACGCCGTGGATAGTGCTCAGGGTAGGAAGCAGCTGTTGTACAGTCATTTTCAACTGTATTGTTGAACACATTCCTTGTACCTGGCTCATTCACTGAGCATCTTCCAGTCCCTGCTGTGAGAGAGGTGGCACAGCTCCAGATCACAGCTCTATTCATGATGTGTGCCAGCCTCATTTACCATTTGTCTGTTGAAGTGATGAGCCTGGGTTCTGCAGAAAAGTAACAATACATGAGCATGTGGCTGGGGGCTATGCCTCTCTTCTTGAAGCAAAATTAAGTCCATGTGGGCTAATTTAATTTTGCAATTTTTTCACTGTGCAATCATAAAGTTGTCTGTAATTACGTATTTAATAATTTTGTTTAGCTTTTTACTGGGAAGTGAACACAAACACGCAGATTTGCATAGCTGTTTGCAGGAGAGCATGACTTTGAATTGTTAAGCATAGTTACTGGCGCAGAGGGTGTATCTAAGTCTAACTGGCATCAAGTAGCATTCCTTGGGACCTTGTTTTGTTACAGCTGACTAAAATGCAACATTTTCAGTTTGAGAGAGATACAGATATGAAACTTACTATGTGCCAGATGGTTTAGGGAGAAAAAAAAAAAAGGAGATCATCTCAGAAACATTTACGTATGGGTTTTCCAGAGTTAAATATTCCGCCTGAAACCTTTCTGGCACCAAGTGAGACCAAGGTTCTTGTTAGATGCCTTAGTCCCGTGGGCTAGTTCCACTGGCAAAAATCTCGTTTTCCCTTTGTCTGAGAGCTTGCAAGGGCTAGGGCTCAGCGAGTGTGTGGCTTGGGTGGAGAATCTTAAAATTTCCAGCCCCTGCTTGGTTCTTGGATTGCCAGAGTCCCATGCTGACCTGGTTTCATGGGTGGTTTAACATCACTGAAGCTCACTGCAGGATGGTGGTTTCAAGATTTTCACATTTCAAGCACCAGCTCTTTAGCAGAGAATCTGAAAACCTTGATAACCTGGTCTACCTGGGCTTGGCTGTAATCTCTTTTGTTTTTTTGGCTTTCTGCAGTGGAGTCATGAATTCAGATGTAGACTAGCTTCGATGTAGATTAGATATTGTCCTAATGACTGACTGCAAAGGGAGTTCAGATTGACTAGCGTGGATATCTCAGTACTGTAGAGGTTCAAAGTGAAATGAGAGATTCCACTTCTAATGAGAGATCAACTAAAGGTCATAGCATTAGATAGGGTCATAAGCTCCTCGAGCTTGTTCATTCTACAAGTTGGCTTTGATGATACTAAAGATCTCCTGACCCTAAGATCTATTTATCAAAAATAACTTTAAAACTAACATTTAAAATAAAACATCAAAGCCCTCTTTCTTCCATTCACTTCAGGCCCTTACCCTACTGTTAAGGAGTTATCTAGGCAGAGAATGCCATTTCAAATATATCAATTGACAATGAAAATTCAGATGATTAAGGGTGTATTTTGTTTGTAGCCCAAATTAAAAGGCCTTTTTGTTAAATACTTGTGTAACGAATAGGAGAGGATTGTATAGAAATTCATGAATTGTTTTAAATAATCTCATGTGAAACTTTATGTCACCAGGCCATGTACCTGAATAAAAAAAAGAGATGTTTTTCCTCAATTTTTAAAGTAGATCTCCACTTCTGAAGTGGTTCTTGAGTACTTTTGTAATTGGCTATTCTTTTTTATGAGTGAGTCTGAATGTACATTGTGACAGTGGAGAGAGCTGTGAGAGGGGTAAGTTTCCATAAAGGATTTGCCTAGTTTCTCCCTTCAACTAATTTAGTGATGGCACACATAAGAGACACAGCATGTACACTGTTCATTTCAGTTCTACACAAGCTGCTGAGATGAGATTCTCCATTTCTTGGTATTTCTTGTCTGCTTTTCCCTGCCTTTCGATTCTGATATCTTCACTGAAAACCTCTCTGCCACTTTCTGCTGTTTGTGAGGGTCCTGCTCTCTCTTCTGATGTTTTTCACATTGTTTTTATTGCTTTGGAGAGGGCCACGAAAGGTGTTGCTGGTGCCTTTCATTCAAACCTTAGATGAGGCATGAATGGGAGCTAAGGCTTGAGAGCTTCCTAGAGTCAACTGTTGCACTATGGGTTCAGTCAGGCTGGATCAATTGGCTCTGGATACCTGGAGATGCCCAGCGCAGGTCTCTCTTCAGCTGGTTGGGTAGTCTCTGGCATGTCATCCACCTTTTTCCATGTGTAATGGTGCTGTTCAGAGAAGATCGGGGTTTTCATGTGGAATTTTGCTCACCCAGGCTGTGCTGTCAATAAAGCCTCTTCTCCCTTGGCATGTGCAGCATGTCCTGTTGTTGTGGTTGTCTCTGAGCTCACTGGGATCTCTCTTCCTTTTCAGGTGGAGCCAGGTGTGCTACCTTTGGGACCTACCTCTGAAGAACATGAAAATTTCCCTCCCAAAAATGCAATAACAGACCAAGAGAGTAGCCAACAGATAGAGCAGCTGGTGAGTTGTGGCCCTATCTGTGGGCTCAAGAGGGGACTGTCAGTATAGGCCTTTTCCTTTCGGAATGAAACTAGTCTGTTTTCAGATGAAGGAGCGCAATACTTCTTCTTGCGTTTTTAACCTGTGGAATCCAAGCAGCGGTTTTGGGGACTGAAGTATTTCTAGGGGTGAGTGTTCTGTGGAAGTGGGAACACCGGACTAGGCACAACTTGGAAAATTAGAGGGCAAAGCACGGGCCTTCTCTGCATGGGAGATATTGCTGTGGAGCATGCTGTGCGTGGAGGATATTCCATGTATTTTGCTGAATCTTGCATGCCCTGACAGTGGAATACTTCAGAACAAAATGAGAGGGAAACATACCGGTAGACTCTGTGCTGTGTTGGATTTAGTCTTATATGAACGTGGATTAGATATGACTAATCGGGGACAGATGTTTTGTGAGGAATATGTCCCTTATGAATTATTCTGGTAAAAGAAAACAATTCATTCATATCTATGTGAGGAGCCAAGAACAGTAGCAAGTACATGTAGATAAAGGTACATAACCAGAGGATGTCTGCAGTCAGTTAGTGGATTAGAATAAGACTTGATCTAGCGCAGCTAATGTTTCAAGCTGAATATTTTGCACAGCTCTGTCTTTTTTCCCCCCACATCCTGTCCTTCATCCATGATGCAAATAGGAACAATCTGTGCAAATAGGAAACAGAACTATTTCCAAACATTGAAAGGGTTGAAGGAGAGAGGAAAGGGCCATAAAAATAGCCGTTTGACTTGAAAAGTTTTTGGTTTTACTGCCTTTTTAGAAATCTCACGTGTTGTAAGAACGTGGGCTTGCTGATATATATGTACTTCTTTTGTGCAGGAATTTGAACTCAAGAAAAAGCGCAAAAAATGTGAAAACCTTGAGCATGAAGTGAGGAAAAAGCATAAAAGATGCAAGGAACTGGTAAGTTCTCTTGTTCCCTTCTGCTCTGAGCATAATGGTAGAAAAGTTAGACGGTTGCATTCTCCTCTTGGATATCCTTCTGTTTATCTCAGTGATCACTTGTCTTTCTCTTCGTTTCAGCAGTGTCACAAATTTTCGGCTCCAGCCTTGGAAGCTGGAATTGTTCATTTAGTCTTTCAGCTGGCTGTGAGTTTCATCACTGAATGAAACTCCATGGCTTTTACTAGTTTGGAGAGGTATTTACCATTTTCACATGCACTCCAGAGAAGTATTTTAGGATTTCTACATCTTGAGATGGTAGTTACAGACACCTATGGTCACAGAATCACAGAATCGTTTAGGTTGGAAGGGACCTCTGGAGATCATCTAGTCCAACCTCCCTGCTCAAGCAGGGTCACCTAGAGCATGTTGCCCAGGATCACATCCAGACGGGTTTTGAATATCTCCAGGGAAGGAGACTCCACTACCTCTCTGGGCAACCTCTTCCAGTGCTCTGTCACCCTCACAGTCAAGAAGTTTTTCCTCAGGTTTAGATGGAACTTCCTGTGGTTCAGTTTGTGCCCGTTGCCTCTTGTCCTGTCGCTGGGCACCACGGAGAAGAGTCTGGCCTCATCCTCTTGACACTCCCCCTTCAGATACTTGTACACATTGATGAGATCGCCTCTCAGTCTTCTCTTCTCCAGGCTGAACAGGCCCAGCTCTTGCAGTCTTTCTTCATAGGAGAGATG